TCAAGTTTCAATAGTTATTCATCAGTCAATTTATCATTAAAGTTTCTTTAGACTTGGTCACTTGGACAAAGAAAGAGAGATAGCACTGGGATGTCTAATTGCTTAGAAATGACAAGAAAGAGGGAAAAAAAAAAGGGTCTATTTCTTTTAAAATTTTTTTTTTTCTAAAATATAGAGTTAAAAACACGTAAACGAAAATGTATTTTGAATTTCATTTTTTTCTAGCATGAATGGTTAAGAATTGAAAAGGTAAACGAAGCTGATTCACTAACACTAATGTCATTTGATAATAATGTATTATAAAATCTTATAATTATTCTCAAAATAATTGTCATTTTTACCAAAAAAAAATTAATTAATTATCATTTTTAAAATTTTAAAGGTGGACAAATATTTTTTTTCTCATTTTAACCCAATTGCTATCTCATAAAATCATCTCTTCATATTTATTTTTTCTTAATAGTAATATAGGCAAAAATATAAGGCTCCATTTAGTATAGAATGGTTGTGGTTTTTGATTTTTGTTGTCAAAATTTAAGCAATAAAAATTAAAAATAAAAATTTAAAGTATCAACTTATGAAATAAAATATAAAATTTTAAAACTAACACCCAAAATTAAAATTTTAATTAATTTATAAAATTTATTAATTTTATTCTAGAGTTTTTAAAATTTTGAGAACCAAAACAAAAATTTAAATTCAAAACCATACTAAATGAAGTTTAAATTATCCTAATTTTTTTTTGTTATATTGAGAGAGGCAATTATTTTTTATCCCTTAATTCATCTCACTGATATGTTATGTAATTTAAATTTCAGATTTCTTACCTCTATTAAAAAAAAATTACCATTACTTGTATTGTTGAGTAAGCATTGCTATTATGTAGTTAAAAACAATGCAAAAACATTACTTGCCATTATCTTATTCATTTTTAAATACCAACATGAGGCCATATGCTTTCGTTGGATGAAGGTGGCCATTATTTGATCATTAATAAAATAGAAGTAAATTGTAAGTATAACGGAAAATTAATAACAGAGAATAGCAAAGCCATGAGAGAGTTGTTACCACTCCTTTCTTCTCAAAACAATTTTTATGTTTACTTTGAATTTATTTTAAATTGATTATTTTTTTATTTTTTAAGATAAATAAATATTTTTTTCCTCCTTTAACCTTATCCTTATTCATTTGTTTTAATTGATCATTCTTTCACCAAAAATATATTTTTATTTTTATTTTTTGTTTTTTAA